AGCCCTGACACATGGCCCCTGGGAGAGCCGCACAGGCGGGCTGCCTGGCCTAGACTCACCAGCCTCCAACCTAAAAGCTTCCCCAGGGATGGGTGGGGTGTTGACGCTACATCCAACGTGGGGGCGGCACATGAAGGTCACTTTAGGGAGACTGGGAAATGCCGCACTGTCCTGGATGTGCGCGTCTCCTCCAAGTGCCCCCTGCTTGCTCTCCACTGGAGGGAACGCCATCTTGGGAAGAGAGACTCCCAGCAGAGCTGACCACCCGCAGCACCCAGCAGGGCCTCTCCCAACAGAGCTGACCGGGAGTCGCCACCCCATTGCTGACTGGCCCTGAGGCCGTGCCTGGATGCCTCTGCAGCTCCCTAGGTCTTGCTCCATGGAAACACTTTGCTCCACAGGTAAAAAGGTGGAGCTTCAAACTGAAGAGGGAGTGGACTTCTCAAGTAATCACAACCCAATTCCACTGCTTGTCATGAAATTTTGTTAAAGAGAACAACCGCAGCAATGTGAGGCTCAGAGGCTCCTCTGAAACACATTAGGGGTGCAGGGAGTTGTGCACAAGACAAAGTGGCCAATCTGCAAGTTCCCTGCTGCTCAAAATCCAGGCAGGCACCCACCAGGCCTCCACGGTGGACACAGGGGAACGTGTCACAGCCAGGCCCTCCTACTCCGTGGACCCCTGCACAGCCCAAAGCAAGACACTGACAGGCTCAGCCAGCTGTGGGCTTCAGAAGCCAAATGCAGAAATGTGGAGCCTTCGCTTGCCACATTTTTTAAGACATTCAGGGAGAAAAACAGTTAACAATGAGGTCAAATTTTACAACCGTATGATCCTTTCTACTGGTAGCAGAGGATTAAGAAAAATTGTCCCAAAGTTAATCAGTGAAGAAGCAGATGAAGTAAAACTGCCCTGCAGGCTATGGCAAAGGGTTTTCCTTCCTTCTAGTTCAAATACTTCTCGGAATGTTCCTCTCCAGTGCTCCAGACTTTCTGCCTGTCTGCCTCACCACGAAGCACTCTGTTAACCCATTATTTGGCCGAGAGCGCCACACGCCCCTGAAGCATCCGCCACCCAGCACAGAGACTCCACTCCCAGCCTCTGAGCTGGTCCGCAGGAGGGCTCCTGCTAAGCTGCCTTCCTGCCACCCATTCACAAGGGCCTGCGAACAGGAAAGTGAAGGCACTCTGCTTCTGGCTTCCTTCTTCCCAAGACCTCTTCCTCTTATCCAACCAGGCTCACCATGCTGAGACCGCAACGGCTTCACAAGCCCATCAGCCAGCTTCAGCCCGCCCGACATGAAGTCAACCACTTCACCGGGGCCTGAGTGCAGCTGCCATACCAACCCACCAGCGAGTTAGACCTTCCCAGCTTCACTTCAGCCAGGGTCTTGTACCAACACCATCCACCTGGAGGGAGTTCATACTCCCGAGCCTGGCACAAGCGTACCTTCCAGCCCCTGGGAAGTTTCCACTGTCCCTGAATAACACACCCACTTGTGTTCAGATCATTTCACACCTGCATAAATTCAGGCTAGTAACTTGTTTCTGTGGCCCCTCCCCGTCCTAATCACTAACCAGGCTCCCACCACGCTCCGGCACAGGGAGATTGTTTTGCAACGCCGCTTTCCTTCGGACATGGTGACTGCTGGTACTGCTGCCAAATTGCAGGTTGCATTCTGAATTGTAGCGCTTTGAAAACTTCCTTTTGCAGTCAAATGGTTTATTTCCAAAAAACATGTTGGAGCAGTAGCTCTGGATCGCTGAACCCTAAACTCAAGGTTCTGGGTGTGGCCTCAGGACCTCCCTGTGTGACTCTAGCCTGGCTCCAGTGCCATCCAAGAAACGGCAAGAAAAGGATTGATCTTGGGAGAGAAGCAACTTGAAAGAACCTACAGCAGAATGTATGGGGTTTATTTCTCTACCAGATGGAGACCTTTCTATGGCATGTCTAATATACCTCCCTCCTTAAAAAACACTACTTGGAAGTTAAATTCCAGATAGTCTCAAATTTACCCTTAAGGAAAGAGACAGGCTATTTACAAATCTGTACTACACTGTAAAATACAAGTTCATGGCAGGTAATGAATAGCTTTGGGTTCACTCTTTTGCAGGCTGCAGGTAAGAAAAAAAGACGACCACTGCACTATAATCACAACTGGTGGGAGCACACGGACACCGCTGAGTGAAGCCACCACAGCCACTAAGGAAGGGCTGCAGCAGCCGTGGGAAGGAACCCATCTCTGGCTGTGTGCGGCAATCTAGGATGAAGTCTGAGAAAAGTGACTCACAGGCCACCGGCGCTAGCCTCTGCCCACTGGCTGAGCCACACAAATACAGCATCATGAGCGACAAGAGGAAGACACTGCCCTCCTACTTCTGGAGACAAGGGAGATATATGCCAGAAGTACCCTCACTCCTCAGTGTGGAGAAGGACTTTGTACCTAGGTGAAGTTTTTGCTACTTAAGATTCAGTTCAGGAGCTATCTTCTTGCACCCTGCACTGACATGGCTTTGAATAGATCCGTGTGTGCGTGTGCGCGCGTGCACATGCCTCAGCTACACAAAGTAAAACATGAGAATACTGTTGAATAATTCATATATTCTTCTATACCTACTCATATTGAAAACAAAAAAGAATCAGAGATGCCTGTATTTTCTAAGCACAAGGAAAGCATTTTTCAGAGGTGCATAAAATATACAGCAAACACTGGACTCTTCCTATCAGATTGGGTTGCAATTAGAAGGAGTTCAGAAAGTATCTTCGAACAAGAAGAAATGAAGCTATTCTGATGGTATCAGCCTGATAACCGTAAGCAGCTCGCAGCAAGGAGGAGGGCTATTTTGGCGGAAGCCAGAGCTGCATTTGATGTCTTCTTAACTCCGCTAAGAAGCAGGCTTTCAAGCCTGTTATCTGCCCCCACATCTCGACCTAATTTAACAAGTTGCCATAGGAGCTCAGTGAAGATTGATGCAATTTTCTTATCTTTGGAGGAAAAATGTAACTGTTCAAGAGAATGAAAATTCAGTTTCTAACTGATTTCCACACTTATAGTGCAATAACTAAGACCTCATATGAAGAAACAAAATAATATTCTTTTGAAGGTGATGTGGACAAAAATCTGGATTGGTAGGGTAATAGTAGAAAGGTGAGTTGGTTTTTTTTGGGTTTTTTGGGGTTTTTTTCCCTCCGGGTTAGAGACTCCAAACATTCACCTTTTACTTCAGGCCAGATTGTCATAATGTAAGGGTCCAAGTCCTGCTCCTATGTTGCCATACATATGCGGGAACAATCCAATTTCAACAGAGCAAGGGCAGAACTGACACAGAAAATAGATATGACTGAGGAGCAAGGAACGTGTGTTGTTAACACTTGTGAATGGTTTCCACCTTCCGAGGGACTTTTCCAGATTCATGGGCACCCTGCCGTTGTCTGGAGGGAGGGGCAAGGCCGAGAGAGTATATTCCATCTCTTTCTCTGTTCCCTAGGAGGGTCTCTGAAATAAGATAGAGCCACAGTAGAAGTGCAAGATCAGGCAACAGGCACAGGATCAGCATCGTTGGACACTGGGCACAGGAAAAGCGCTACCGAAATGAGGGCTGCTCTCCTACATCTTCCAAACCTCAGCCTGCATCAAGGCCTCAACAATTAACAGAATCCAGTTCAAGTCTATGACCGGCCACTCATGGCATCTTGAATTCCATCCACACTGAGCTCTTAAGGGTTGCTGCCTTTTCTATATTCAACGTGTGCCCTCTGCTAAAATAATTGATTTGCTGCAGTTAGGGGGTTTTCCCCTTGTCTGGTCCAATGTCTAGCACTCACATGTTTAGTTAACTGATTTGGTTTTATTACATCTTCACACATCTCTACTGTGGAGATAAGGATGAACACTTTTACTGCACTAAAAGTAGCACAGGGTACAAGGCAAATTTGCCTAAAATCACACAGTGTGTTACAGCTGGGAGGACCACAAGAGGACTTCTGTTTTCTGGGTGATTGTTTTCACCATTTGACAATGGGAAAGGTTAAATTCCCAACAATTAAAGAACTGAATGATGAGATGTTTAAAAATGTTTTTCACTCAACCAATTATTCAGTCTTTGAGGGTTCTGAGTTCTAATGCTCCTGCCTTCTCCTCCACTCACAGACTGCTCTACTCTTGACCCCAGGTGGTAGTAAAACACTGAACTCTGGAAGGCAAGGAAGGCTAGAGGGAGGGAATCGAGGGATGAAGGAGGGAAAGCAAGAAGGAGGGAGACATTTCTCACAACACTTTCCCCAGTTATATGCTATTCCCCAAGTACAACATAGGATGTGTTACTCTATGACCAGATTCTCAACCAAAGCCCAGGCTCTCAATGTGCATATTTTATTCTCTACAGACTTTCTTCATCCCCTACTGCTTCAATGAAAGGTTTACTCCTGGAAGAAAATCAATCATAAAGCTAAATGAGAAACAGAATTGCCTATATAAGCCAGGATGGATCTGGACAGAGTTTAGGGCCAGGAAGGAAGTGTTTCTCACATTCAAACTGCTAGGCTAATGTCAACTGCATGACAAAACAGTCTATGACAAAGTCCATTCATTCAATGATGCCTTTGAGAGAAGCAACCGCTGGTTTTATGTTTGGAAAGACCTCCCAAGAGCAGGCCTGGAAAAGTCCCTTGATGCCATGCCATTAGACAGCTTCCAGGAACATGAAACCATTATAGCTGCCTCCCCCTAGATATGGAAAAAGGCTCAAAATATAAGTTTCCTACCATTCTTGGAAACGACCCCTTGGGATAGAATGATACTATCCATTTCCAAAAATCACCATCTATTTAAATAAAAAGCAGATTAGCCTGAAAGGCTGAAGACCTCTTAGTGAAGGCTCTCCATTCCCTTTATAAAAGAAACAGGATGTCCTTGGACCTCTAGGTAAGTGCACCCACCTTCTGCTGACCCCACCCATAGAAAGGTGCAGATGGGCTGCCTCAGCAGGAAGCCGCCTACCTGTGTAGCCAGCCAGGGCAGCAGCAGGAATGACAGGCTTGTCCTTGTTGAGGTCAGCACGGTCACGCACATAGTCCTTGAAGGTGCCCTTGGGCTTGTGGTTGGGCAGGGCAGCCGGGTAGTCCTCAGAGTCGAAGCTGTCATAGGAAGGAACACGCTGCAGGCTGTTGAAAGATGACTGGCTGCTCCAGGACTGGGTGAGGCGATCACAACTATCGTAGCTCTCTACGCTCTCAAAAGAGTCCTGTCCTCCGAGTTTACCTGGAGGTAAAGGAGGAGGTAGGAAGAGGCGGGGGGAGGGATTGGGAAAAGACAACCGTAAAAACCCTCTTATGGAGAAACTGCTAATCAGATCTGCAGGAGGGACAGAAGGGGAGCGGGACTCGGGAATGGCAGCAGCACAGATTGCTAGTCAATGCTAGAGGAAGGGGACTGAGCCAGGACACACCCTGCAGGGCCATCCGATGCCACTGCTGCTGCCCAGTTTACAGTTCCTAAGACTGTGTCAGAGTCACATGTGACTCATATTTGTCTGACAGACACAACAGTGCCTGGGACCTCAAGAATTCTAACGCCAAAAATCTAAAAGCTGAGAATATCATGTTATCATAGAAATCCTGGCTAATGAATAGTTATCAGGCTGAATCCCTTTTGTAAATTAATGTGAGAAGATGAGTTTGAAAGGCCCAATGTGGCAAAATATTTTCATCATAAGGAAAAAAAAAACTGCATTACATTGAGCACACTGACCTTCCTTAACCTTGGAACAAAGTGTTATTTTTAAACATGTTCCCCCAAATACTATTTTAAAATGAAATACATGTCCTATCTTTATGTCATCTCAAATACAGAAACAAGTTATGGGATGCTGTTGCCTGGAGATTAAAAAAAACACACACTATCACCATTTCCAACTGAAAACTGTGTTCTCTACCCTTTCAAAGTATAACGCAGCACTGGAAATGCGTGCTTCTCAGGGAAGTGGGCGCAGAAGGGAACATGAGGTTGATTGAAGAGTTAAGGTCATCAGCGGTGTCAGAAATTCTTACTCTGAGTTGCTTAAGGCATTCTTAACTGACCACAAGATCATGCAAGTTCATTAATTTCCCAAATCAGGTTATAAACAGCTGCGATGATTGCGCAACGACTTGTGGAGAAATTTCCACTGGCAAAAAATGCCACTAGAAAGGAGCCCAGAAAATGAAAAAAAAAAAAATCTGGAGCAAAACAAATGCATCAAAGAGCTGCAAAGGCTCCCAGGAATGTGTTCTACATTCTATGTCCAGGTATTCATCAGGCAACCGAGGCAAATCACAGGCGACAGAGGGACCTCTCAGTGCAGCACATTCCCAGAGACAAAAGGGTGTGGCAAACGCCCAGGAAGAAATACCTATGAATCAGTTTTCAACTCCAAGCCTGGCTGATCTATATATTTCTATTCCCAGATAAGTGTGGCTTGGACATCCTCTTATTAGTGTGTTTCCAGCATGTTCTCCCTTCACAAAGGTAGGGGTTGGTTAAAAAATTAAACAAAATTCAAACATAAACAGGTGCCAAAATCAAAACTAAATACATAAGGAAATATGTTGTTCCCAAAATTTGAAAAGAAGATGCCCAGCTAAAAATGCTCTGCTCCTCCCGTTCCCTGCAGCACCGCTTACAATCAAGGGTGGCGCTATCTGCTTCGTCTCCTTCCTCCCTCTCCTCATCTATTCAAAGCAGGGACTGCATGGGTAATCACCCTGCCTGCACAAGCTTCATCACATTCGTGCTTCTTCCCTACTACGAAAAATGAAGGAGTGGTCCCTCCCAAAAATTCACATCAGATGACTCAGGAAATCAGCTCACAACCCAAATGCCTTAACCTCTTTATAGCAGAACAGGAAATTTTTTGGCACCTTGTAAAAAGGTGCTTGTTCCTATCAGCTACTGGTCTTAATGGACATTCAGTGTTTTGGAAGACAAACACATTAAAAGACTACAAAAGAGAACTGATATCTTCATGAAGAACATCCAACCCAACCCCAACACTGAGGCAGCAGCAATGACTGTCTCCTGAAGTGATGGTCTCTCTCAGCCATTTTTATATTTGGAGAGTAAGGCGATCAGAATTTCCACCAGCAAGTCCGCTGAGTTTCCAAGGAGCCCTAGTAAGCAAGGACACTAAACTAGGTTATAACCACTCTCTGGCAACCTTTCAAACATGAGCCAAATGCAACCTGGTAGAGAACTGTGGTTTATAGCTGAAGGCAGCTTTCATTTAGCTCTACTTTACAACCCTAGAGGTACAGCCTTCATTTATGGGCATTTTCTCCCAAACTGGGTTGACTCCAGCTAGATTAGACACTCAGTTCTGCTACTGTACTCATGCAAGGAAACACATATCCTCGAAGACACGCGCTGGCCAACTTTTCTGAGAAACGCCTCCGAGAGGCCCTTCCAACACTCACCCCATGGAACAAACCTCAAAGCACACAGAAGAGTAGATGGGAGGTACACAGCAAGCCACTGAATAGACCAGCACAAAGACAGCCCTCAGAAGCCAAGCAAATAGGAAACAGAAGCACTTTGTGCACCATAATGTAGTATATGAATACTATGATTATTAATAATCATCCTCTAACAGGAATGCTTTCAGGCTAGACCGTCTCAGCTCAAGGAGCCTTGGAGTCAGTCCTGTTTGCAGCGCCTCTAGCATGCAGGAGGCAGACCCGCTGTACGCAACAGGCTTCCTTGGAAGGTGCTGCGGCCTACACTTGGGAGGGAAGACTGACAGAGCACAGCCGGAGAGAAATCCTCATGTCCCTTTCTAAGGGTCACTTTGGGATTAGGGGTTAAGGAGGCGGTGGAGACCAAACCAAAAACCAAGAGAAGGAGCAAGAAGAGCCAATTACATAAATGCAGAGCCAGACATAATTTTAAAACAATGTCACAGTGGATCTGCCCAAAGTTACAAATGGCTGAACCCCAAACCCACAGCTCAGTCTCATTACATATGAGTAGAGAACACCCACAAAAGAAGGTCACCCTAATGCTTTGCCATACACATGTCCATCTCAATACACATGCACCCCGAAATGAAAGACAAGAAGGGGAAGAGAAAACTGGTTCTGCCCATTCTCCTTGGGCTGAAACACAAACCCCCTGGGACTCTAGGAAGGACAATTATATGTTCTGATTTGTGGAGGGACTTTCCCTGTATAGGGTCCACTGGTTATTCAAGCCTTGCTGGCAGGAAATGGGAGCCCGAACACCCAAACAAGGTGGCCATGTGTGTGGCCCACGATGTTCAGCGTGATCCTCCGCAGTAAGGGACCTCCAAGACCATGAGAATAGCACCACACGAGGCAGGCACCAAAGCAGCAATCTCTAACACACTGGCGCAAGCCTGACTTCTGTGACCAAGGCTTCTCTGACGCTTGGCTTAGCTTTCTCCTGCTCCCCACAGCCTCTAATTCCTTCCCACTTACCCATCAGAAAAGTCACCTTTTTGAGCTTTCAGAAATCAGCTAGCTCTGCCAGGGTGAACAAGCTGTCCTTACAATACTGTGCTTTGACTATCTTACCAGGTGGGTGATTCCCTCAATAGTTTATATTATGGCTGTAAACGTCAGGTCTATTTTGCCTTTTTGTTTTACGTCAGTCTGCTCTATTTTGGAAAGTTTACTTCTCTGCCAGTGAATAATGGTCACTATTATAATAGCTATTTCAACAAGAATGCCTTCTTTTGGGAGCCTCTTACCACCTACCTTTCCATGGTCCTCTAGCTAAATACACACTTTCACCACACTGTTGATGGCTGGGGCTGAACAAACCACTGGTTAACCATGCTGTATCTTCTCAGACCAAAGAAGTCACAGGAGGCTAACGATGCCAGGCTGACAGGTCACTCCAGGTACCAACCCAGGTTCTACAGTCTCATTTAATGGCTCTGAGAGGAGCCCATGACAGGGACAAACCTGAGGCGTTTCCCACAAGAGTCACTAAGCTTTCTTTCCTTTATTGTGTTCTCCTCAAACAAATCAACTCTCAGAAAATACAGCCTTTTTCTTTAATGATCAAACTGAACCAGAAGAAACATGATTATTTATTCTGCCAAATACGAATGCCACCATGGATCCTGAAGTCTCTGTCACTACGATTCATGTGGCTGAAATTCAATAATCAGAGGTCTTCATTATCTAGGTATTCTCGGATGGAAAGAGGCAGGCTGAGGCATCTTAGAGGGCTCATGAGTGAGGAGAAAATGGGACCCGGGAATTTCACGAAGGTGAATAATTCCTGTCAACCCAGAAGCTTTCAGTGCAGAGATGTGACCTACCGCGACTGGTTCTCCCCATGCACATGTTGTCAGGGGTGACCACTTCTTGCTTGATGGCAAAGTAGTCGGTCTGCAAAGCGTCTGTCTGAAGAGGGTCCCGGAGAATGACTGAGGGGTAGTCGTTCTCGTACTTGAGGGACAGGAGCTCCTCTGAGCTGATGGGATGGAGGGTCTGGTAGGACTCCGTGATGAAGCTGGGCTCCGAGAACTCTGACGGGGGCACACACTGAGCATGCTCGATACCGTAGCCTAGCCAAGGAGATGTTCAGTTAGAGAAGAAAAATGTGTATCTACAACAAATATTTCTTTTTTTCTTTTTTTGGTGGAACCAGAGATTGAACTCAGGCCCTTGCACTTGCCAGGGAAGTGCTTATTCCCCTGAGCCATCTCCCCGACCCTATAACAAATATTTCTACACCACTGTGGTGCCCCACACTGGAATGAGCACGCTGCCTTAAAGAATGAAAGGAAAAGCCTTAAGTCAGAAAACCTTGCTCCACTACTTAATGGCTATGGCCACTGGTAGAACGCTTTCCTTTTCTGCTTTAATTTTCTTCATCTACAAACAAGCATGACTGCAATCTTCCTCAGAGTGCTGAGATGAGATCAAATGAGAATCAACATATGTAAACCGTTTCCCAACTTTTGCGATATCCAACAGGCTCGATATATAGCATTTAATATTATTAGCATTGAAATAAAAGGAATGATAAAGTTAAAAATAAAATGTATGCAACCCTGTTTAACACCCTCTTTGGAAACAAGGTCATCAGCTAAGCACAACTCTACACCAGTTCAGTTCCTTTGACTATCTCTCCAGCATGTCTCAGTAGCCCATACTGGAGAGTAAAAGGTTTCATAATCTGTACTAGAACATGAAGCTGCACGGTGTGTTTTTTTTTTCTTTCAAAGTTTTATTGATAAACATATAGCAATGAGACAGTTTCAAATCAAATCGAAAGTACCGTTTCAACAAATAATATACTGCATATATTCTTCTTAGTGGTTAATTGCTGTACAAGATGCAGACTTGTGATCCTACTTACAAACACCATTAGAAAAAATCATTCTATTCATTAAGAGAATGCAACTATATATCTATCCCAACCACTTTGAATACACAGATACAAAATGGACATTCAAAGGTATACCCCAATTTTTTTAAGTTCCGTTGTTGAATATTATAGGTGTGTAAACTCAGCAAAATATTCTAAGGGTCCAGTAGCCCATAATAGCATTGGGTCTTCTGTTTAACTGGCAATGTCAGAAATTATTGACCTGAGTCCCCCACAGCTCAACTTAACAACATGGCTTTACTTCCTATATTTCATCTTCATACTTTTCTACTGGATGGTTAAGACCAAGGTAAAGCAGGACCTGTGCAACAAGAGTTGTAGCTTTTGGGTCTGAGAAGGTCAGTGAAATGCCCTCATGCACGGTGTGCTCTTAAAGAAGGATTTCAGAGGAAATGCTACGATCTCCACTGCAGAAAGGAAATAGCAAAGGCCAAGGCCAAGTCATCAACCCAACCTGTGGCTACCACAGCGCACAGAATCAAATGAGATCCAATAGGGGGCGAGGTGTGTTCTTTCCCATGACTTTCACATTCCGAGACAGGCCATGCTGAAACCCGCAGGCCAATAAGATGTGTACAGGGCGGCAAGATGGCAGAGGACTTGCCTGGAGTACACAAGTCCATGGGTCCAATCCCCAGCACCACAAAAAATAAGAGGAAAAAAATTATAAGGCATTCATATGGCCGAAACCATGTACTTTGTGAAGAATAATTAATCATTACCTAGACTGTAATTTTTAAAAAAATGTATTTCCCGTAGAGTTACCATGAAGGAGCGTGAGATTGAGCCAGGAGAACCTTCCTAGTGTCCCATTACGATGAGCAAGGCAAGGGACAGGGAGCAAAGGGTGGAACTTACTGATGACGTAATCCGAGGTATAACGGGATTCCGGATAGGGCGGGTTCACTCCACTAACTTGGTATGGTTTCACATCTTCTGCAACGGACAGGGTAGGGAATGAAACGAAGAAGTCAACACAGAAGGAATACGTAGCCTAGAAGAATCCTGAATGCAAAGGTCATGATGATCTCAATTATTTTTGGAAGAAATGGGTCAATTCATTAACTGCGTTGGTGTCTTAAGTCTTCCAAGGCTGGGGCCCCATCTAGGAATGAGATCACCAGAGGATGGCTAAGTTGGTTATGTCAGTAGCGACAAAATGGGATTTAATATCTTAGAATGTGAATGAGGGAGTCATCACTGAGGGCTGGGAACACACTCAGCACTCATTCCCAACCCCTGTGCTGTGCATGCGTCTCGCTGGAGACTGCATTCAAAGGCTGGACACTGAATGGAGAGGGTACCAAGGTCAGAGCCCAGCCCGCACACTGATCCACTCGAAATCTTTTCAGAAAATCACAGCAGTCTTTAGGCAACTACATTTTCCATCCTCTAGTTCTAGCAGATGTTTGGGTTTTGTTCTCTGTTTTTCCCACTGTTCTAAGAATTCACATTCAGGCCCAGACAAGAAATGGAACACCGGTAAAGCAACTCTACTTGTGTACTAAGGTGGCTTACATAAAGAGGGAAGGCAGCGACACAACCAAATTGTGGCCCAGAAGCCACCTTCTCTGAAGATGGGAAAGGTAGAGGGCGGTATCAAAGGCCAGAGAGTGACCCTCTAGCTGCGCTTGGTGTGGAACCTGCTAAGCACCTGGGAATCTCAGGAAGCAGCAGAAGCCTCTGACTCTTTTATGGAACCACCTGACCACATCTCACAGAATCAAGACATAAAAGAAAGCTTGTTGGTTTGTGTTTTTCCCCAGGTATTTGATAGCTTGTTTGAGAACAACGGCTCATGGGAAGACAAGTTTATGCCTGTATGCACACGCATACACCAAAACCAAAAAAGCAGGTCCCAGTTGAGATAAAATGATTCAACTCCACTTTAGCAGCTTATCAGATCACAATATCCCCTGTACCTTTTGGCCCTCTACCCCACCCCACACAGCTGTGTTCTATGGGTGCTGTGTCCCTAGGTTTCATTATAGAACCAAAACTATAGCCTCATTGCAAACAGATCACTCATCCCTTGGAGTGTGTAAATCTGAAAGGGGATGATCTTTGTTGTCTCGCCCCTGGAACACTGGCCAGGAAGGTGGCTGTTTGCTCGCAGGCATACTTGGGTACGTCTTAATTAAAGTCCCTTACGTTATTCCAGTACAGAAAGGCGAGACCGAACTGTACTAACATGAGGAGCCGCCCGTGTGTCCATGTGATTACAGAAAGAAGACAGAATAGGAATTCAAAGTTAAATAGACAACAGAAAAAATAAATAAAAAAGCTAAAAAGTTAAAGAAAATAAGAGTGTAAAGAAACAAGCGATTTTTTTTAAATGTATTTGATACAGGGTCTCACTACCCAGCTCAGACTCGTCGCAATCCTCCTGGTTTCAGCCTCCCCAGAGCTGGGATTACAGCAGTGCACCATCACACCAGGCCTCGGCGGCTGGCTCAGCACACCTGGGGGCAGGGCCAGCAAGGCATGTGGTGCCAGGGATCAAACCCTGGTCTCCGCGCTTTCTAGGCAGACACTTAGTCTTCTGAGCTATCTCGCAGGCCCAGAAACAAGTAATTTTTATGAATAAGAATAATCATGTCCCTTGTCCTTCCTATCTCATGGGGTTATTCTGATAGTCCAAAGAGAAGACTATTTTATACTACTTGGAAACAAGACGCCATATATGTGTGTGTGTGTGATTAAGGCAGAGTCAGACATCCCACAACACCTGGCAGCTCCTCTGCGACGAGGACAGGGAAGCGTTGCCCTACGTAGCACACTCACTGTACTTGGTTCTCACAGCCAGGTGCCTGCCCCTGCTGCCAGCAGTTAAATCAGATCTGCAGGGAGCCTCCCGGTTCTTCTCCCTCTATAAACAGGTTGTGCAGGTCAACACTTCGGTGTGGGTGTGCGTGCAATTAGACGGACAGTGTGCCAGGCTAGGAGAGGGGACTGGGAAGCGCTGCCAGACCTCCACCAGGGCAGCCACAGACAGCTCCATCTAGTTCTCGACTGTGTTATTTTTCAACAGAAAAGCTGAAGAGAAGAAATACAGACCACAGCCCTTGTCCCCAGGAGTCTAACTTGGGTTTCTCTTGAGCACTGCAGGGTGAAGAATGTTCTTGCACACAAAGGCAGGTATTATAGGGACTAAACGTGCCAAGCCTGAGCTCCGCACCCTTCCCCCAGTGTCTGTGCCAAGGGCTGGAGCTGGTGACCACAGAGAAGGGGTGGGCCTGGGTGACAGAGGGCAGCGGGCTTCTAGGCTTACAGTCAGCTGGAGGGCACTGCTGACTGCTGGTAACTGCGATTTATTTTAAGAAGAAATTCAGAAAAATAAGGGCAAAAACACCCAAGTTTGCTGCCTACTGCTGTTTCTGTACTCAGCCAGGACTGTGGGACATGAGTCACTTGGTCCCAAAGGCTGGAAGAGGCCAAGAGAGGAGGCCGTGTCATGACAGGGTTGCAACACCTTGTCCTGGTCTGACCCAGCTTCTGCCCCAGATGTGAGAGGTATTCTGCACCTCTGCAGTTCCAACCGTCAGTGGGCAGAGAGGCCTGTCTTGTTAACGACTTCAGAAAGTCTAAGCTTTCCTGTGCATGTGACCAGGTATTACATGGCCATAGATCAAGGAAATATGTAGTAAGATTGCCAAGAAAAAAGGCCAAAAACTATTCTGGGATTGGCCAGGGGCACTGCCAACACAAAGTACATGGATCTAAGGAAACAACTGGTCTCAGAACTGCGCATACCATGAAGCTAAAGGAGCACAAAAGTAGTAAAGATTAAAATCTTAACCCCAAATATATAGAAGAGAAACAAGCTCCCCTGGACCTGCTGTATGCATGTGCTGTACATCAGACATCATCCTAGACACATCCCTTTGACCATTTGTGCCCTGATAGTGTTACGTTCCCACCAGATCAGCCCCCCTCCCTACTCACAGTAAGTTCACACAACCCCACCTTCCCTGTTTCCACACACACACTTACCTTTCTGCAGAATCTCTAGATGCTCCCATAAGATGTCCCCGACAAAGTCTGGAGCCAGCTCAAGGAAGCAGTCTTTACCCAGGCCACAGAGAGCTGCTCCATTCATACAGAATTTCTGGAAGTCCACACCCTTCAGGCTGAACTCGTTCACGGCCCACATCACCCAGTCCCGAACATGGGTTTCTGTCCACTGCCGAGGGTCTGGGGGAAGAGACCAAGTGAAGACACAGTCGGTCAGGGTCTGATGCAGACTGAGGGACCTCCCCGCTGCTGAGGGTGCCATCCCAGCCACAGAGTCAGGCAGCACCAGCCTGCGAATGGAGCTCATCAGGCGTCTCCCATAGCCCCTCTCCCACACTCAGCATCCCTCACCCCTCCTCTGCTTTACAGCGAGAAGGAACTCTGGCCAGCCAAAAAGTAACACAGGAATGGGGCAGGCACATTCCCTCCACTTTAACTGGGCAATGATTCCCAGAAATCTCCTCTTACATCGACATATTTCCTTTACAATGTTTAAAATGCCCTGGCCAGGAAATGAATGGTTTCTATAATAGCAGTAATAGCAAAACAAAGTGTTTTCTACAGATTATACAGGCCCCTCCCTGCTCTTACCTCTTGTAAATACTTGGGATCATTGTTTCCAATTAGTTTTATCTTAGAAAACTAAGATTAGTAGCAACCACAGCAATTGGCAAGGGTAAGTCATTCAAGCGGCACTGGGTGGTTGCACTATTAGGTGCCTGTACTATGCTAGAAATTCTCAAAGGCTGTAGCTGTCATAGGCACGACTCTGAGGAGCACCGTGGTACAGACAACTTGTAATCTTCACGTACAGCCTGTGGTTTGACACAATTACACTCGCCAGTGACACCTGAGGAGCTCAGATGACAGCAGGATGCAGTTCCTACGTCACAGCTGCCCCAGGGGTACCCACTTACATCTAGCAGACCATTCATGAGCTTTGGGGAAGCCCAGTAGTCGGAATTTACCTTGCTCAGCCTCAAAGGATACCTGGCGATGCCGCCCACTAAGGTCAGTAGTAAAATGGTAAACAACGGAAGAGGTATGTAGATACATCCTCCGAGTGTCAAAAGCAGGAGCTTGGTAAGGCTGGCGGCTCTCAACTACTGATGGAAACGGCTGATGATTTAAGAACAGCTGGATTCCATAGCAGAGTTCTCTTTCTGCTCTCAACTGCTCCTGCTTCCTAGTGAAGACTGACATGTTCCCCATTCACGTCTCTTTTCTGACAATTTCAGACCCTTTCTATTCCTAAATGACCTCTTCCTGGGAAGGGCTTGCACAAAGGACAAACACATTTTGCCAAAGTACATGGCAGAGGTTGATGATGACCTGGATCAGTTGTGCAAAGTACATGGCAGAACAAAGATTGATTAGTAAATTCCACGAAATGCAGGAATTCATCTTGAATGAATGAATTCATTGCATTCACACACTGGTGGCTCAGGGTGACCCTGAAACAAAATTTCATACACATGTCTGCACTTAAAAATCATTTAAGGAGCTTTAAAAAAAAATACTGTACTGATGTCTCCAGAATAGGATCTGACCTTGGAAGTTCTCAAAGATCCAGAGGGGATCTGAATTGGTAGACAGGTTCAGGAAGCACCATCCTGAAGCCAAGATGGAGGTGACAAGCCTGCAGAGGGTGAGCTCAGGCTTGTGTGTTGGTGACTGCTGCCTCAGGTGAGCGCAATGACCTGTAGCTACTGCTCCAGCGTGGACAGGCCAGGGGAGCCTCCCCGGGGGAGCCGGCACCGGGTCCTTGGCCCAACTACACAAGTGTACCTTTTGGGATTCCCAGTCGTTGCTGCTCTTTCGTGAAACCACTGAAAGTAGCTTTCAATGCTTGAGACATCATTTCTTTGCTGCTTGGCGTTAAGAGCGGCACATCTGCACATTCCATATCTGTAAGAAAAAAGGATAAGAAGAACAAAATTAATAACATAATTTAAATACTCAAAACATAACACAGGGTGGATGAAGTGAGGAAGGCAAGTAAGGAAAGAACTGTTCGATTCTCATTAAAGCAGGTACAGCTAAAGGGGGCTTTCCAGTGAGCACTGGGCCCTGCCTGAAAGAAAGAAAGAAAGAAAGAAAGAAAGAAAGAAAGAAAGAAAGAAAGAAAGAAAGAAAGAATCAAGCTAACTCTTGCCTAAAACATCCTGCACCCCTAACAACAAATGTGCTTTTTCTTTCTCTAGACCTCTACCCTGCATCGAAGTCCCTGCTCATATTTCATACTCAATTTGGCATTACTGTACTCATTTTCAGGTACCCACAACAAGTTCAGAAACACTCATTCAACCAATGATTATTTAACACTTTTCATATGCAAGGAATTAGAAAAAGAAAGCACCAGGAATAAGACAGAAATGGCCTCTAGACAGCCAATTCTTACAACAGATTCTGCCATTAAAAAAAAAAACCTGTCACCGTGACTCCAACGCAGTGTCAATAAGGTCTTTAAAGGAAAAGGAAAATAGCCTAGTTAATGTACATGCTGCAAGACCAGAGGAAGCAGAGAGGCCTCCCTCGGGAGAAGAGAGGCGTCGGACCTGAAATCTGAAGGACACCGTGAGCTCGGGAAAGCGCAGTAGATCGGGGCTCCCGACAGTGATGCCCCAAGCAGTGACGTCCGCACCACATGGAAATGATCAAATGCACATGCCCAAGCCTCACGGCACACACACCCAGTTAGAACTCCTGGGAGTGGAGCCCAAAAATCTGTTTTATAGCACATAATCCAGGTGTTTCTGATGAGCAATAAAATTAGAGGAGCCCAGTCCTAGACCAAGGAAGAGTCCAAATGGAGGTCATGGCATGGAGCAGAGCCTTCGGTGTGTGTCAGTAGCCGAAGCATCCACACAGCTGAAGCAGATGATCAAGGAAGCAGCTGCCCAGGACGAGGCGGAGAAGGGAAGCAGGCAGCACACAAGGCATCTATCGTTTTTACTCCAAGTAAAAGAGAAGGTTGCTCAGAGTCTTCAAGAGAGTTACCTGATCCACATATTAAGATCTCCTTGGCTGTTCTGTAAAGAATGACGCATGAACTGTATATGAGTGGATGTGGAAGACCATAAGATAGTTACTGTATTGGCTTTGGTGAGGGGTAATGACGGCTTGATTAGGAGGCTGACAAGAGGGGTAAGACAAACAGACCAACTGCAGGTATGTACAGGGGGTGGCACTGACCAAACCTGCTTTGTATATGGGGGAAAGAGTGTGGTATGAGAGCCTGCAGATGCACGAAGGTGTCATCCTCTGCTGGACCCTCATGCTTCTTTGCCTATGCTAAGTACAACACTCCCACACCTCCAGACCATGTTCCCAGCACAGAACAGAAATACAGCTGAAGCCAGAGAGCTGCTGGGCCCGCGACAATCCCTGCTAGTCTCCCTGCAGGTGCCCTTCAGCAATGATGAGCATCACGGTAGTAATTTCCAGAAGTCTAAGTCTTGAGTGTGCTGCATCCTGAAAACGCCTCTGGAATGAGTCCCAGGCCAGGGTGCAACAGAAATTCCTCAACCGGGCATTTCTCAATTTGTTACTTATAAGGTAATTCCTAAATGCACATACATGTTATTTGCTGAATAAAATAGAAACAGAGAAGGGAAAGGATGACAACAGATGACCCCAAAGCAGAAACAAACTTGTACAGTATATTGTTTCACAATGTCAAAATGAATGGAATGAATGACTTCACTGCATGAAAGAAGAGTAGGCAACACCTTCCCTCCTGCTTTCTCTCCACCATGTTATCAGGAAAGTGCTCAGAGTCCAGCCCTCCCCAGGAAGAACAGGCTCCCTTCCTGGCTCTCCCCAGTTCTGCCAGTGACGAGGAATCTGAAGGTCCAGGGAGTGGTGAGTTTGGGTTGCCTTGGGACATGCCCCAAAAAATCTAATGGAAAATCCAGAGTGCCTCCAGGAAGACTGACAAAACGATGGAAAATCCCAGATTGTTTGGGGTGAAAAAAATGGGGAGAAGGGATAGTGTGGATTACATAACATCCAGCCCTTCAAACAATGGAGTAATCACCGAATGAGTCACTGCAAAACACATCAGTGCCCCGTTCACCCCCACTCTTGACATCCAAGAACAGACAGGCGGCAGACCCCGAAATATCTCTCCTTTAGAGGAGAGGTCAACTTTACTACACAGAAAGTCTCTTTAGTCAACTATAGAATGTGGATTCTGAACCAACTGCTGCCTCCCCACTCCCAGCACATGGCCTAAATACACAAAGCCAACAAATGTTTTGTGAATTAAAGTTTTCCAGATTCGTGTCAACTCTCCCCACTTCATTCTCATCCAACATAAATTCATGAACTTGAACTGTGTCAGTTTTGTTTTGTGTGTTTATTCCCTCCATTAGAATTATGACTCGATGAAAAGAACTTTACTGACGGCAGAAATTGGCCAGGACAACCCATGTGGAAAATGCTGGCCAGGCTCATGGTTCTGCTGTAGATGGGAACTGAAGGATGAGATGACTGGCGGCCCCAGGCATCCTCTACCATGCAAAGCTGGGCAGTGCACTGCCCTGTGGGGAGATGGCCAAGGATGCCAGCAGAAAGCCTGCTCCTGAAGTCTGCTTCCTGTGACTCCACATACTCTGGCAGCGTGGTCTGGGCAGTGGCGCTGAGTGGACGATTCCCTCCAGGGGCTCCGCTTCCTGTCAGGGAAACAGCATTTCCAGGTACTTACTTCTTCTCTCTAAGGGAAACAGCTGAGATCACATTTTCCGATCCACCGCAGTGTCCTCTCCCAACATCCAGGCCACATGTGGTCAGCTACAGTTATACAGGGACCCAGCTGCTGATGCCCACCCCTGCAATTCAGCGCTGAGTTCCAATAACAAAGCTCAGAGCCCAACTGGTGGAAACGGTCTCTACACACTTGAGAGCCCTGCGTGTGGATTTCATCTCGGGTACCACTGTCCTGGGAACCTTTTGCCCATATTTATTAAGTGTAAAACTTTGGTTTAGAAAAAAAATCCAACTCTTTTATAAACAAGTGAACAGTTGGCCACAGATGGCCCAAACTACTTCTTCTGTGGTGTAGGCACTGTACCTAAATGAACATGAATAATCATGTCCAGATTTAGTGATTAATGAAATATTAAATTTTTCATAAAATAACAAAGAAAAAGTCCCTCTATGTTGCTTATGAATTTAGCAGCTCTATTCATTACTCAAACCGATAATAATAATTAAATCATTATGCAGGTAGAAAATCTAAAATGGTTTTGCCCAAGCAGGCATCTTTCTGTTCTTAAAATATTTTACCTCATTAACTGTCACTATATAATATTTTATATTAAGTATTCATTGTTTCTAATTTTGGGAGCAACATCCATGTGGTAATTAGTACCTCCACAGATATTAACCAATCATATTTTATGGAAAAACACTGAAATTGCCTTTGTATTAATAATTACAGTATCTCAAACAAAGAGCGTACTTGTCTCAAAATGCTGAGAACTGAGCCAAGGAACACCTATTTTTATACAGTGGATACTCAAAACAATGCCTGGAAATTGAAAACCGAACCATACTATGATCCCGTGAGATTTCTTGTCCAGTGATTATTCCCTAGGACCCCTAAATCTGAGTTGAGATTTGTAGGAATTAGCCTAGGTTTCTAAGAGGAAAGTTTTGCAGACTCTAGTGAATAAATAACCACCCTAAAAATGTAGAGTGACAGGCAAAAGTGAGCAAGCAATCTTGAATATGCAGGGTACAACGAGCCAACGGCACTGTGCATCCAGGGAAATGTGCATGCGTCCCTGGGGCTGAGCCCTGAACCACCTCATACATGTCTCAAATGAAACGTCAAACAAGGGTTTGCTTTTACTTGTATGTGACTCAAAGTCAGGCCATGTTCAGCTTCCAGGAACACTTCAAGGGTGTTTCATGTGTCTTTGATACTGTTCTTCTGAAACCAAACATCACATCCCAACAATGTCACACAGGCTCTATGCTTCAGGTGGCCTTTGTTCAGTAGGAAGTTCATGACGTAAGGCTCATGGACTATACCATCTTTCTTCCCTGCCTGCTCTCAATCAGCAGTGAAGACTGGAATATTCTAGGTCCAGGGGGTGAGGGACATAGCCAAAGACAAGAAATCTGAGGCTAGATCCCAGTCCCGTGAGACCACAGGACTGGGATTATAGTGGATTGCAATGGTAATCCACGTGCAGTGGCCACGTGTGTTGCATGCTGCCACAAACTGAACATCATGTATGTCTTCAATCTGAAAACAGCCTTATACTTTGCTAAGACCCTTCACATGACACAATTCCGTAATATCCTCCCAACAGGAAACTTTTGGGGGCCGTAGAAGGTATCACAAGCTTCCCACTTTACAGATGAGGAAACCAAAACTCAGAAATTAAGGACTTGTTTAGTCTGAAGTCACAGGGCCAAAAACCAGTCTTCTAGCTACTTAAAATCCAAAGCTTTTCTGTTCTAGTTCACTGCAACTCAGATTCAATCAGAAATCTAAGAAAACTAAAATTTTCAGAGCTGACAGGAAAGCCTTTATTTTCCAGTTTGATAATTAGATAAATTTAAGGAAATAAAACCATTCCAAGACACCTTGAGCCTCACATAGCTGGCCTAAGAACACCGTTAAATGCCACATAGAGCATCATTCGAATTATTTTCCTCTCCTGAACTCAAGGGTAGTGAGACTTCCTTTCATAGGAAGCAAGCAGGTTAAATGACAGCCCGGCGTCCTTCCCTGTCTATGTCCAGCCCTGAGTCACCCTGAGGGGCACTGTGCACATAATGCAAGGTCAATTACTCACACAAAGCCTCACAGAAATGCTCCACTGAGACAAAAGAAACCTTCCCGTTCATATGGGGGGGGAACACTCTGTCCAAATAAAAAGACAGGATTTTAA